TTTTGCAGGAAATTCTTCAATCCACTCAAATATGTTATGTTTTTTGTATTGTTTTTCTTGCGATGTCAAACAATCTTTGATGGAAGATCCAATAGGCGAATCCCATGAATATGAGATGACCTAACAAGGGCTCTTGTGTGAGTAGGTGGATGGGATAACGGGGATTGCTATTTAGAGGATTATCCGAATAGTCTCTTTTATTTATTTATTTAAGGATGCAATAGTCTCTTTTATATTACTACTTGAAGCCGTTGCGTTACTAAGAGTCCAAGATATGCGTAGCATGGCCACAAGAGCACAAATTATGGTTATGAGTGTTAAAACATGTCTTCGCCAAATTGGAAAGATTGGAAAGTGTTAAAACGCCCGCAGCCCACAACATTCCGCCAAATTGCAGGCCTCATATAGAAACTGTTTTTAGGGAAGCCTCATATACATACCAGTTACCTTGATTAGTGGCTTCTGCCGAACTCCGCCAAGCACTACTGGAATCTTTTTTATGCCGACGGCCCAAAGCCGTAGGCATAAACCTATGCCGATGGTGGCCGTTAGCATACAACCGCCGGCTCCGATTCCCTCAGCATTAGTCGGCTAGCCCTCGGCATAGAATCCCCGTCAACATAGGTACTTGTTGGCAAAGAAAATAGACAGCACCGTCCATCTGCCGCCGTCCGGACACGGGCCTGTATTTGCCAGCGCCATGTGGCAAACCTACGCCGACATCAATCTATGCCATCGCCATCTTAGGTTTGCCATGAGGCGTCGCTTGGGAGCTCTAGTGGCAATCTTTTGCCATCGACAAGTTGACGAGAACCAAAATAAATAGCCAAAAAGGCTAGCAATTTACAAATGCAATTATAAAGACATGATTCAACAAAGGGAGTTTGTTCAAATGATCTCATACTGTGTACAGGTGTGCATCTTGGAATGTCAAACAATGTTGACCAAGAAAGTTTTCATTTTCTTTGCATAAAAAATATTGGGTGCTAAAAATAAGTTTTTTAAGAACCTACCAAAATTTGTAGCAAAATTGGAGCACAACAATTTTCAAAAATATTAGACCACATTGCCTGTGTAAATAAACAAATGGTTGCCACTCAAAAGGTTTGTCAAATTGGCAGGTTTCTTCCGATTTAGAAGTAACTAGGTTAAATTTGAACCAGAGTTGCATCATAGTTTGCTCATGATTTTTTTTAAAATCATTTTCAACTACACAAGTAATTATTTCATTATAGATCCAATATATTTTTTGTAATATTCCACCCCTAGTTACAAACGGTCATGCCTGGCATTTGGAATGCATTTTTAAATTGTAATAACAAGTTAAAAATGAAAAACCTTCGCATTATGTCATTATATGTGACCTATTTACAAGAAAAAAATAATAAACACGAAATACGACAATTGTTTTAAAAAATGTTCTCAGAAAAGAGTTATCATATATGAAGATTCATGACTTTTAAATCAAATGACCATTGTTATGGCCACATTAATGATATAGTTTGTTTAAATGAACTTATATTGTGTACAAGTGTGCATCTTGGAATATCAGACAATGTCGACGGAGGGAGTTTGCAATTTTTTGCACAAAAAGATTCATTTTTCGAGTGCCAAAAAAGGTTTTTTGTGTAAAGAATTTACAGAAACTTTGTTGTAAAATTGGAGCACATGATTTTTCAGAAATATTAGACCATATTTTATGTACAAATAACTCAATGGTTGCCACTCAAAAGGTTTTCACCCACCTCTCGCCAAATTGACAGATTGCTGCCGACTTAGTAGGAACCCGGTCAAATTTAAACTAAAGATGCCTCATAGTTTCCTCATGCCTCATAGGTACACAACTAGCTTTTTCATCCAAGATTCAACAAAAGTTTTACAAGATTCCACCCCTAACTACGAACGGTCGTGCCCGCCATTTTGAAAGCATTTTGAAATCGGCATAAGAAATTCAAAAAAATAAAAACATTCATATTGTGTCATTATATGTGACCTATTTGCTAGAAAAATATAAACTTTAAATGCAACAATTATTTTAAAAAAAGGTTCTCAGAAATAAGCTATCATGTATAAAGATTTATGGCTTTCAAGCCGAATGACCAATGTTATGGCCACATTCATGCCATAGTTTGTTCAGATTATCTCATATTGTGGACAAATGTGCATCTTAGAATGACAAATAAATGTTGACGAATGAAGTTTTTTTTTCTTTGTACACAAAAATTATTTTTCATTTTCAGAGTGCCAACAATGTGTTTTTTCGAAGAACCTACAAAAATTTGTTGCAAAATTGTACCACATCAATTTTCGGAAATATTAGACCACACTTTATGTACAAATAACCAAATGGTTGCCACTCAAAAGGTCCCCATCCACCTGTATTCAAATTGACAGATTTCAGCTGATTCAGCAAGAACCGGGTCAAATTCGAACTAGAGTTGCCTCATAGTTTGATTATGATTTTCTTTCAAAAGTATTTTTTTATGTACACAAGTAGCTACGTCGTCAGATATCCAACAAAAGTTATGCAAGATTCCACCCCTACATAGAACGGTCATGCCCGCCATTTTCAACGCAATTTGAAGCAAACATGATTTCAGTTAGTTTTCATATTTGAAAACATAGTATACCAACAGAATCCTTTTAACATTTTGATCTAAGAACATATAAAGTTTGTCAAAATCCATGCAGGTATGAAGTACTTGTGATTTTTACAAAGTATAATGACCTATTTGCAAAAGTACACAAGGTCACTTTTTTAACCTATTCAAAAACAGACACAAAGTGGATATTCATAATCTGTGGAATTTTTACCCCAAATTGATATATACTTCACATATGTTTCAGTTTAGGTAAGTCATGTTTGAATTAATGAAATTTAAAAAAATTGAAACAAATAATGATTTAAAATTAAAAAATAATAGAAAAGCATATTCGAATGGCCGTTGTCAGGACTGTCGGCGTAGATATGACCAATAAAAGATACTTTTGTAAATTTTACACATCCTTTTTATATTACTAGTAATAATGTACATGCAATGCACGTTTATATTAGGTAGGATATTAGTTGCACGTTATATTAGGTAAGATATATCTGTTGCACGTTGGTATTTGGTAAGATATCAATTACCTTTTCACGGGAATGGTAAGATATTAATTACATGGCAGATTTCAAGGGATAGCGTTGAGTCAAAACATGTTTATAACCAATGGAAGTGGTGGGTAATTAGAGCGTTAAACGTGTTTGATACTGAATATTGGAGCGATTTGAACCGCTAGATAACATGATTTGACGGTCAAGATGGTTTGGATCTGCCCATTTAAGTCTTTTTATATTGATATAGATTAATTTTTAGTACCAGGCTACGAATGAGACCTTATTTACTCTCATGCCATGTGCTTTGCAGAAGAATTATTTGACATTGATGAACCGATACCTCTTCTTCCACGAGCCAAAGTGCAGGGTACGTAATAATTCATTCCGAGATTACTACCTTCGAAGTAATCGAAATGTAATCTTGAATGCATATTTTGCTGTAGTTAAGCTGATTGTATACATGATACTAGTATATGATACTACTTCTGTAATGCATAGTATCATAAGTTAGTATCTTAGGTTGTCTTATTAATTGTCATGCATGGCGCAAAGTAGTATAACATTTAATATAATACAGTATCATAATATGACCACATCATCTCTCTTCTCATTTAATTGTATGCCACATCATTCAAAAAAAGTCTAATTAACATGCATGATACCGGTTATGATATGATACTGCTTATGATACGACCAGGCTTAGTGACTTGGTGTCACATTTGCAACCATTAATGACCTCTACTGGCTATCTGCATGCACGGATCATCAAATGATCAGTTGATGAAGAGGAGAACCGCCGACAGAAGGAGGAGAGCGTCGGCGAACTCCTGAAGACTGTGGAGAATGTGAGCATAGCGATTCCTGAACGGTTCGCAGATCCGCCAAGCATCTGCGAGGTCCCCGAGGAGCTCACGGAGGGCAGCAATGGCGCCTACATCCCCAAGGTCGTCTGCATCGGCCCGCTCTTCGACAGCAAGCGCAAAACGGACAGGATGGCCCGGCTGGAGCACTACAAGTGGTGCTGCGTCCGCAAGTTCATCGTAGGGGGCCTGCACCCACCTGCTGCTGCCGGGACATCGGAGTCAGAGGCCTGGTCGCCGGCGGTACACGAGCCGCTGCTTCGCGAATGCATGGACACGATGACGCGGCTCCTGCCGCGAATTCGTGCCTCCTACAACAGAATGTCGTCCTCCAAGGACACGAGCGACGAGGAGCTGGCGACGAATGTGCTTCTCGACGGCTGCTTCATCCTCCAACGCCTGCTCAAGTACGCCCGAATGGCCAAAAGATCTTCCAGGGAAGGAAACGACGAGGACGATGACTGGGCCCAGCTAATCGGCCGGAAATGGGTCTGGGGAACCGTGAAGCGCGACCTACTTGTGCTTGGAAACCAGGTTCCCTTCTTCGTCATTCAGAAGCTGTTCAAGCACCTGGGGAGAAAGAGCAAGAGCAACATCTGTGATGGCGAGCGTGACGGTGACAACGACATCCTCCTCTACGACGGCCTCCAGCTATTTAGCTCGTTCCATCCTCGCCCGCTGCACGCCTCGCCCATCGCCAGGCACGACGTGCACCACCTCCTCCACCTGTTCTACCTCTCCATCGACCTCCCCCGCTCCTCGCCTTGGCACCGTGACTCCACCCGCGGCCAGGGGCCCCCGCAGAGAAAGTCCGCGCTGCCGCCAGACCTAACGTGGTGGGCGCCGAGCGCCAAGGATCTGGACGCGGCTGGCGTTCGGATCCGTGCACGCGATGATGGCACCGCCACCAGCTTCCTCGACTTGAAGTTCCACCGAGGCGTCCTGGAGATCCGCCGCTGAAGCTATTTGACTACAGCGAGGCCTTGTTCCGGAACCTGATCGCGTTTGAGTAGACCTACCCGTTCACGCCGGGCCGCATCACCATGTACGCCATCCTCATGGACTGCCTCCTCAAGATGGACGAGGACGTGCGCCTCCTCCACCAGAGCGGGGTGCTCGTGAACCGCATGAACGACGAGAGGAAATACGCCGCCACGGGGTTCTTCAGCCGCCTCTGCGCTGAGGCACGCACCTCAGCCAACCGCAACCACCTGGCCGACGTGATGGAGGAGGTCATGAGGTACCACAGAGGGAGATGGCCCAGGTGGCGTGCCGCTCTGGTGACCAACCCTTGGGTGACCACCTCCCTCGTCGCCTCCGCGGTCTTGCTAGGCTTGACCGTGCTGCAGACCTACTACACTGCCGTTGCCTACTACAAGCCAACCAAGTAATTATTATTGGACGCGACTAACAAACAGTCGACTATACGCTAAGCATTAGATCCACACGATCGTAAACCCGGTCTTTTGTTTCATTACTGAACGATTGCCCCCTGCCAGCATGCGATGCCATTTCCAGCGCAAGTTTGCATGCATTCGCTCACCAGTACTAGTTATGAACAAGACAAAATTGCTGACGTTAGCCAAGATTCCTCTGAAATTCATATTTTAAAATGTTCTGTAGCTCAAACCGTTGATCCGATTGAAAAATTGTTTTCACATAAAAAAATTGTCACGACGAGATCTTCGAAACTAGATCCCATGTTGGTATGTTTCGATGATTTTTTTGTCAAAAGTTACCATGCATATGCATAAGCTACATAAGTTATCAACCTATTCACACCGGACTTATCAGGCATCAAATTAAACTAGAAGTTTTTGGCAATGTTTCAATGACTTCTATAGGTCGAATATTATCACTTGATTCTGTAAAGAGTTACCCGAGTTACCCATATTGTTCATATGTTTTTTTACTGGCAACATTACATCGGTTGTTTGAACTACTCATGGACAATTATCAATTCGAATACTAGATATTACCACAACCACCCACGTAACTACATCACTACTGTAGTGTTTTTGCTGCTACCTAGCAAGCTGGGTAACCTGCGTCATGCCATGGCGATAATTTAGCATAATCAATCTGCTAACTATGTAAAATTCTTCCTAAACCTAGAGATATGGTCGCCCATTTTGTCCCTTCAGGGACATCCGACAAACCTAGAGATATGGTCACATATGCATGTCACCACAAAATCACAGGGGTAGAGTTAAGCATGCTGACATACTATAAGTTATTAGGCTGAAGCAGTGTGAGTTATGAGGCCGAAGCAGTATGAATTATCAGGTAGAACCAATTTAACTTACCATGCTGGAAAAAAAGAATGAGTTGAACAAGCTAAGAGAGTGTGAGTTAAACATTCGGGCACTATATAAGTTATCAAGTTGCATAAAGCTCTCTCATGTTGAATGTATAAATAAATTGTTGAAAGCAGATCAAATTAAACTATACACACAGTATAATTTATCAGGCTAAAAACAATATGAATTATTAGGTAGTATACCATGCTGAAAAACATAGATTCAATTAACCAAGCTAACAAAAAAATGGTGTTATCATGCTGAAATACTTGAAGTTATCAGGCTCTAGCTGCCTATGTCATCAAGATGAAGTAAAACATGAGTGTTGAAAGCAGTCCGAGTTAAACATTGTAACACATCACACGTTATCACGCTGACATTTTGTATTTATCAGGCTCAAGTTAAATAAGTTATTTGGTTGAGGTAAAATTATAAGTGTTGAAAGCGGTTAGAGTTATACATGCTGACACAATGTAATTTATCAAGCTAAATCAATATGAATTATCATGTGGAAACAAAATTGGAGTTGCCACACTAAAAAACAAAATGAGTTAAATAGGGAAATAAAAGTGATTGTTATCATGACACCCTAGGAATAATCAAGTGGAAGTAAAAACATGAGTGTTGAAAAGTAGTTCGTTAATCATTCGTACACATCACAACTTATCAGGCTGACATATTATAACTATCAGCCTCAAGTTACATAAGTTAGCAGGTTGAAAGTAAAAAAATTAAGTATTGAAAGTGGAACAAGTTAAATTGCTACACACAATATAATATATCAGGCCAAAATCGTATGGATTATCAGGTAAAAATTGTTTAGGGTACCATTCTGAAAAAAAATGAATTAACCAATCTAACAAAAGTGGTTGTTATTATGCCCACATACTTGAACTTATCAGGGTGATACAGAGTATATTATAAGTTATCGGGCTCAAGCTGCATAAGTCATCAAGATGAAGTAAAAATATGATTGCTGAAAAAAGCAGTCCAGGTTAACCATTCTGACACATCACGGCCTATCATGCTGACATATTATAATTTATCAGCATCAAGTTGCATAAGTTATCAGGTTGAACGTAAAGTTAAAGTGTTCGAAGCAGATCAAGTTAAACTACTACACATGGTATAATTATCAGGCCAAAAACGTATGAATTATCAGGTAGAAACAATTGAATTACCATGCTGAAAAATAAAATGAGTTAAAACATCGAATAAGTTATCGGGCTCAAGCTGAGTTGAAACAAATTCGAGTTAAAAATATGAATTGTCAAGATAAACAGTTTAAATGCCATGCTGAAAAAAGAGTCAAGCAGGCTAACACATTACAAACAAAATCATACAGATTTTGCTAAGCAAAGTGATGCAAATTTCAATACATGTTGAGTGTTATCACGCTGGCACACTAGAAGCCACCAGGCTAAACATAGTATAAGTTAACAGGCTAAAACATTACCACAAAATCAGGAAACAAAGAACAACACAGCTGGTCCAGAAAGAAATCTCATATAATCGTTTTCCTCAACCTCACTCCATACCCCTAATTTCCAATAACACAAAACAAAAGTATCATACGACAACAGGGAATAGAAATATAAATGGTGTTTGTTAATCATAATCAGTGGAGGTCGTAAATCCTACACTTTTAATGGATCATGGACACTTGTACATGGTCCATCTTGCACACAAAATAAAACACTACCAAACAGTGGAATGCCTCTTCTTCCTAAACAAACTAAACAGAACAATGATCACAACCAAGTTATTGCGTCGTGTCGTCAATTTCTGATTTGTACAGTTTGTCGAGTAACTCAAGGCGGTTGTCAAAGGAACAACCCCCTATTATTTTTGTTGAAGCAATTTGAGCTTTTGGCACAGCCACATCCATGTGAGGTGAAAAAATCAGCAAAGGAAAAGTGATTGCCAAGTAGTCATGCTCACTTCATCATTTCAGGAAGCATTTGTGGTACAAAAATGCCCTTACAGAAAGGATCAAGTCTCATTCATGACAAAAACCTGAGAGAGAGGTCGAGGATGGAGACGTGGGTGTTGAGCATGCTGCTGATGCCCTCCTTCAGAGAATAGCTTCTCCTCCGCCCACCACCACTACGCCTGGAAATGGAGCACCACCCACACATGCAACAGTAGCATGAATTATCAGGTAGAAACAATTAAATTACCATGTTGAAAAAAGGCTAACAGAATGTGAGTTATTGTGCAGACACACTATAAGTTATCACTAAGATACTATAAGTTATTAGGCCCAAGTAACATAAGTTATCGGGTTGAAGTAAAATAAAAGTGTTGAAAGCAGTTCGAGTTGAACCTGCTGAAACGGTATAATTTACCAGGCTGTATGGATTATCAAGTAGAAGCAATTTAAGTTACCATACTAAAAATAGAATGAGTTAAACATGCTAAGAAAGTGAATGTTATCATGCTGACACGCTAAAAAATATTATCAGGATCAAGTAGCATAAGTTATCAGGTTGAAAGTGGTTCGAATCAAACATGCTGACATGTTATAACTTATCAGGCTAAATCAGTATGGATTATGAGGTAGAAACAATGTTTAAGTCACCATATTAAACACAAAATGAGTTAAATAGGTTAACAAAGCGGATATTCTCATACTGACGCACTAAAAGTTATCAGGCTGACATAGCATAGTTATCTGACTCAAGTTGTACAAGCTATCAAGTTGAAGTAAAATATGAGTGCTGAAGCAGTCAAGTTAAACATGCTGACACACCATAAGTTATCAGGCCGAAGCAATATAACTTATCAAGAAAAACAGTTTGAGCTACCATGTCGTAAATAAATGAGTTAAACAGGCTAACATAACATGAGTTATACACTCACCACCGCTGGTGCCTTGCGCTTCTTTTGTGATTCATCCATGTTTGCAACAGCCATCAATTTCCTTTGTTTGGCCATTGGGATATGGAAAATGCACGGTACATGATTGTGATCTAGTCGAAATTGATGTATGTGCCAAGGAAAGAGAAATAGAATGACTCATCATATTATATGAGCGTTACCAAAAAATGTTTGTACAACTACAAAGAAATAGTTAAACAAATCAGATTGTGAAGCAAGCTTGCTTCATCTTCATGTCTTTAAGAACCTAGTGCGTTGGGCATGCACTGAGCCACACAAAAAAAATCTACACCTAAGAAACATTATTTTTGCAAACACACATGATCTTCAACACTGCTAAAAAAATATCTCATAGCACACAAGATGCCCCGTTGACCGTGGTCACTGCTAAACCATGTTGATAAACACACCGGTGCCATGGTGGAAACTATAAACCACAAGATGGTAACTATTTTTGTGTGTCGCCACACTAGCAAATACCAAGCACTGGATACACCATACACACTAATCCCACAAAAAAAAGCACTTTCTTCGAAGGACCGGGTTTCTCTTCTTCCTCAACAAACTAAGGAAAATAGGAAGACACAGTGGATGACAAGCAAGTTGTTGCTACATATGGTGGACATCACTATAACTGATTAATATTTTCTCTTTGTGTATGTGGCTGATTAGCTGAAAGGCATGTATGAAACATCCTCTGTTTTCTGATGTAACAGACTGAGGTTTCAACAGTCACAACCACACAATGTGAAGCAACAAAGAAAGTGATAATTGGGTAGTCATGAACACTGGTCATTTCAACAAGCATGTTTAGTGCACATATGTTCTTGCAAAAAAAGATGGATTGAGACTCACTAGTGACCAACATCAGTGAGAGGTCGAGGAAGGGGTCATAGAGAGCAGCTATTCGATGTCATTTCTGCCCATCATCCCTGCGCCTGACAATGGAGAGCCGCACACGCACACACTGTTCCCTGTTGATACTCGTGCTTCACCGCAACACCTCCCCCATGCCGAAGAATTGAGACGAACACCACAAACGCACCTGAGAGGGGAGCAGCAGGTCGGGGAGGAAGCGGGCGACGACAGAGGCGTTGTGGATGTACCTGTACAAGTCGGGCTCCCTTGAAGGGCGCACCGGAGGTTCGAGGAGAAGGTGCCTCCGCCGTGGGCATTGAGGGCTGTGGGAATGATAAATCCCGATGACTACA